GAGCCTGCAACCCGGGCGTGTGCCCTGACCGGAAATCGAACCCTGATCGCCTGGATCCTAGGTCGATGCTCAACCGCTGAGCGACGCCCAGCCGGGCGAGCTCGCAATATTAGGAAATGATGCTGAGTCCTCTGGAGCCTCAACAATATTTCATCACAGCTGATGTTCAAATAGCTTTCCCTGTGTGCATGCAACTCTGAATTAACTCAGGCAGAGGCAATTTTATATTCCTGGGAGATAAGCAGTATCAGCCTAATTCACAACTAAAACAAGGCAAGGAAACGTTGGAAGGACCTGGAAGTAGGAAAGGCAAACAGAGAAGAGGTGCAAAGGCTACTTTCTATAAGCCTAAGGATCCTTCTAGAACCTCAACAGGATGCAGAAAAGGAACTGCAAGTTAACTCTATGTGGCAGTCTCACCGACAGAGCCAGTGGAGCACTCGCAGTGGATACCCTATATAAAAGTGAGCTGTTTACCCACGAGGAACCATTCAAGATCCAGCTCGTGAACTCTGACTTCTCAGCATTTAGCACCCTGGAGCCACCAGCCTCTGATTGTAGAAGCTGCCCCTTTACTCAGCCCACATGACACCGCGTCCGGGCTCCCCTCCTGATGGCTCGGTTCCTCCCCAGGCCCTCACTTTCCCGTCCCCCTGCAGGCTCCCTCTGTGCTCTCTCCATAGCTTCTGGCTCTCCATGCACAAGCTCATGAGATGGTTCTGGAAAGTGGGTCTTGGTTCTCTTCCATAATTTTCCTTATTCTTTATTTGCTTTTGGGGGATTGGGGCAGGGGTAATAAATGAACACCAGTAATTAGAAAGAAAACAAAATTACATTAAAATGTTTCATTTCACTTCTCAAGAACAGAGACGTCTTCAAATTTTGTTATAAAGGCTTTTGTTTTAAAGCCTAACTCTAATGAAACCAAGAGTAGACATTATTCACACATTAATCTCATCTAGTCTGGCAACTATTAAAATGGATACGCTAAAGTCCACGGACCAGATGAAGGAATCAGAAAAAAGCAGAACAAAAACAAAAATGATATCCCACACCTCCCGTTATTCACAGAAATAGACTTAAATCTGTGTTTACCTCTTAGTGTTGTGCTCATACTGCAGACAAATGAGGCATTTAATAAAATTTAAATATTTTGTCCTGTTTTGAAACAAACAGCATAATCAAGAGACATCTGCTGAAAGTCTGCCAGAGACGAGGCCCTTGAAGTGTGGTGTGCGGACCAGCTGCATCGCAGCACCCGAGAATGTTGTACACACAGAACTTCAGCCGCACCCTACACCTCGGAAACATGACTTACAATTCAACAAGATCCCCGGGGTGTCCTATGTTCATGGAAGCTGAAGAAGTTCTGAGTTAGAGCATATTCTTGCACTGGAGGTACCCAGAGGGTGTAACACTGGTCCTCTAATTAGTATCTACGCCAGGAGGTGAGGGCCATTCATAAAAGATAAATTACACAAGGAACACATGTCAACTGTCAGAAGGAATCATAGACAGTCAACAGTATGGGGGCTTAAGGAAAGCAAAGTCATTTTAGATTGGGCCGTTAGTGTCTTAAAGACAGTACTTGGAAAAACTTTGAGTATGGTAAACTCAACCCCCTCTGCAAAAATTCACTCTCTGGCAGTTTGGTAAATCTGACAGACCCAGAGCTCTCAGGAAAGAGTCAGGGTCAGGAGAGAAACGGGTCTGAACAACTTCATTACAGTAAGTTTAAAATAGAGCACTGATCAGGAAGCAGAGCCCGCAAGGCAGCGAAGTGAAGAGTCTGGAGAGAGCACATTGATTTAGTTTGAAGTGTACGGTTTCCTGAGAGTGAGGGCAGGCTGCCTTACCCAAATGTACAGCCTCCTGAGAGTGAGGGCAGTCTGCTTTACCCAAATGTACAACTTTCTGAGAGTGAGGGCAGGCTGCTTTACACACATATGTACTTTACTTGTTATACTAAATGTTAAATTTAGGTTTTATTTAAAATGTAGGAAAACCTCTTTTTGA